AAATCTTGAAGTTCTCGGTGATTGTTTTCTCAAATTGGCAGTTTCCATGGCGTTGTATTACCAATATCCATCGGCCGATGCTGGTCTCTTGACAGTAAAGAAAAAGAAACAAATCTCCAATGAAAATCTGTATCGATTAGCTGTTCAAAAAGAACTAAAAAACTATTTAAATGCTAATAAAATTGAAGTTCGAGGTCAAAATGCCAATTGGCTACCATCTGGATATATGATCGTTGACACCAAATCAATCATCGGTCAACGCTATGCTTATCAAATTGCTAAAAGAAAAGCTTTTAGTGATATGATTGAAGCATTTATTGGTGCTTTTCTCATTTCAACGAATTATACGACAACAATCCAATTCATGCATTGGCTTGGTCTCTGTGTGATTCCTGTTGCAAAATCACCATCCATTCTTCGTTCGAATATAGGATCGACTAATGAAGACGAGATCAGTGAGATCATGAATAAATTTTTTCATGATAAAGCATTTGATGAAATTGAAACAATGATTAACTATACTTTTCAAAGCAAAGCGTATCTTATTGCAGCATTTACTCATCCATCAAGCTTTGCCAATCGTCTAACAGATTGTTATGAAAGGTAAATAATTCAAACAAATTTTCAATCGTCGATCCATATCTTTCTCTGTACAGACTAGAATTTCTTGGAGACGCAATACTTGACTTTTTAGTTACACGCTATGTATTCGTCCATTACAATCAGAATGTGACACCAGGTAAACACTACCGCGTCGTTTATGCTATAAAAATATGTTCGGTTTTACTCCCAGGTCGCGTTACTGATATTCGTCAAGATCTGTCAAATAACGATCGTTTGGCCTATATTTTGGTAGCATGTGGTCTTCATCGGAAAATCCTTCATAATTCACCTGATCTATTTGGTCATATAACAGCGTATGCTGGTGATGAAGACGTCTTTCCTAAAGACCAATCAATTGATCAATATTTAAGCAAAGTATTTACTCTATAATAGCTATGAAAAAACACTCGCATTGAATACAGGTGGTTGCTGTTCAGAATAAAAACTTGTGTTAGCCTATTTAGGATCTTGATCAATGGGCCGATTCAACAGCTCCCAAAGCTCTCGCTGACGTATTTGAGGCACTTGTTGGTGCTATATTTCTCGATTCGGGCAATTCTCTAGACGTCGTATGGAGAGTCGTCGAACCTCTACTACGAAAATATCTTGGTAAAACCGATTTAAATAGAATTAGCACGCTCAAAATCGTTTCTTTGTCATTTAGATCAATCAATTCATCATCCTAATTTGAATCCTATACGATCATTTATAGAGGCGGGTGGCAAAATAATTCAGTATGCTTCATATCAACAAGAGAAATTTTTACAATTTTCTTGAATTTTTAGTGAATCAATACAAAAGAGAGATGACAGACCGATAGCAATCTGCATCGTTCGAACGAAGAATGGTATTATTGCCGAAGGTCGTGGCGTCAATGCTAAGATAGCTAAAATGAATGCCTGTCGACAAGCCCTGAAAATATCGAAACTTCAATAAAACTCATTCATTAATCAAGTTGATTTAGTGTGTATGCGTACACGACCAAAATTTAACTTTGTGAAGTTGAGAGCTTGTTTGAAACATGGATGCAACTGTTCTAAAGTTGGTTTCATTCGAATCATATCCTCATAGCGTTCATTCAGTACTAGTAGATTGCAATCGAACTGCTTAAGGTTAGCAAGAAAACGATGAAAAGTATTGGCGAGATGCTCAATATAAATCGATGACCATTTTCTGATGTTTCCTCTGATTTGAAATCGAACCAGAGCTGGTATGATTGCCAGCATGCTTTCAACAGACTGAGACGATAAAGTCCCATCTAGATAAAATCTTTTTAAATTCATATGTTGAAATGAAGATGATGCCGGAATAGCTAAAGGACGGAGCAATTTTAAATCCAAGCGAGTCAAATTAGGACATGATCTAAGGATACATTCAAAGGCACGAGGGTTATCCATATTGCCTATGTTTATGGCTCTTAAAGAAGGCGCGATTGTCCATGTTAAACTGATATCTACATGACTTAAATGACATACACGCAAATATGTAAATCCATTCGAAAAAATGAACTGATGAAATAGCGAAGTCAAATGTGTATTACGCATACCAAACACACGCAACTGTTCCAAGAAGGGAAAATAAGTAAAAGAACAAAGTCGTTGCAGTTGGATGTCAGATGGAAGAATCCATGTTAATGACCGAATATTCAAAAAGGGATTAAGATCGATCTGTTTAACATTTTCTAGAGTAAGTTTAATGATACGAGAGAAAGTCAACCAGACTGGTTCATGTCTTTCAATGCTTGTAATTGTAAGATACAGACCAGATACGTTATCAATAAGTGATCGAAATCTATAGTTGAGACCATAAAATGCACGATAGAGCTCTCGAGCGGTTAAACATTCACATATATTCAAGATTAACTCGTTTGGCAGTGTTTCTATCGTTGATATGCGATGTTCACTCATTCTATCTTTTTACCAATAATACCAAACATCATCAATTGTATTGTATGACATTTAAAAGATAAATCTGAAAGAAAAAGACAATTTTTTATCTATTTTACCAATTGCTTGCAAAAGCCAGAGATAATGCTCTATACAAATCATGTTTTCAAAAGACTTGATATGTATTGCAGCGAGCTATTCACCACATCAAATATGATAGCTTATTTAAGCAGAATATACACATAAAAAAATTACTTGAAATCTGAATTTCCAATTGACAGAATGAATAAGATTTTTGTTAGTCTCAGTAATTTCGTGTCATTTCGAAAAGCTCGTGATTTCTTATTCATACAGAAAACAGAACAAGTGATGCAACTTCGTGCTAAAAACGTCTCTTAGAATGTTGATTTATAAATAAAACACATAAAAATGAAGTAAGAATGGTGCGCAAATGTCGTTGCTGTTTTTTTTTCTTTTTTTTCCTAGTCATCCACTGCGATAAAATTTTTTCGATTCTGTCTCTCTTTCGTAACCAACTGTTTGTCAACACTGCTGAGTTAAGCACAACCTGATTCGAATACATCATTGCCGACATTTTGTCGCTTTGTCAACCTTTTTATTCACCTCAAACTTCTGATTAAGTAGAAAAATTCAAAAAAACAAAGTCATTTGTTTTGGATGTATACCTACATCCTGTTTGAAATGTTAATCAAAATTCACATCGTTGTCTCATTTCCATAAATAATTTCTAATTCATAATTGCTACGTATTTTTTATTTCAGTATTATTTGATATACATGTATGAATATCACTACTACCCAAAGTCATAAAATGAATTATTTAGAAAAAAAATTTATAGTAGATATATGTTAATCCCATCCAACTGAATAATCTCTTGCATGGTTTTCGTTTTTCAACCATTCATATAATGGCTGAAAAAAATCTACTATTGCTCTCGAATCCAATTTGGTCTCTCCATTTAAACTTTGGAAAAGTTCTTGCCATGACTTTTGAATTTCCCATATCTAACATATCTTTAAATTTTTCTCCAACATGTTTATTTCCATATACATCACACATATGAAATCGTTCTGTAACACCTTGCAGTTGACATAAACTACGAAGCAATTGAAAGTCAAGAATATGAGCAATAAAATATCTTAGATAGGGAACATTCGATGGTATATGATATTTGGCGCCTGCATCGAAATTTTCTTTATCATTTCGGGGTACAGGTGACATAATACCACCATGTTTAATTCGTAGTGCTCACCATATTGAATTAAATTAATTTTCATGAGCAATTTTGTCACGATAAAATAAAAATCGATATTTATCCATAACATAAGCGAACGGTAGAAAAGCAACTTTTTGTAAAGCTAAACGTAAAAGATAATTAATTTCATAATGTGAATTGACAACATTTCCATCAAGAAAACCCAACGTTATTAAATATGTCGATGATGCTAAAAAACATATCGAAAATAAAGAAATTCGTATGCCAAAAAAAAGAACTTACTTGCAAACATACCAATTGCATCTTCAATGGCTTCATGAAAACCTGCATTTGCTCCTTCATGATAGAGATAGGGTTGATCTCTCTCATAAGCCATGAAATACTCTATATGTCCTAATTCATGATGAACTGTATCAAAATGATCATCATTGACTTCAGTACACATTTTAACACGAAAATCATCTTGATATTGCATATGATGTGCAGATGCATGACAAACAACATCACGATCGGTTGGTTTTTCAAATAAACTACGAGCCCAGAATTTTGGTGTCATTAGATAAAGACCAATTGATGTAAAAAAAAATGATTCAGCTGTTGTAAACATTCGATGAACAGTATATCCTCTTTCAATTAATGCTCCTGTGATATTAACAAGTGAAGCATCAGGATAAGGAAGTAAATCATCGAAACGATCATTCCATTGTTGAGCCCACATATTACCTATAAGGAATGCACAATGGAAATGTGAAAAATTAGTTTAATAGGATAGCCTTTGAGGAGAACTCATAAAAGTTAAATTTACCAAGAATATGAGCTGGAATAGGTCCATGACAATTAAAACGATTTAGGTATATTGAACATAAACGACTTCGAACATAAGCATGTGATTGTTCATATAATGGCATAGTATCGTTCGCAAAAGAAGGTGAAACGAAAACTAGGGTGTGGGTGTGGGTGTGGGTGTGGGGTGTGGGGTGTGGGTGTGGGTGTGGGTGGGGGTGTGGGTGTGGGTGTGG